GGAGACCCGTGAAGTTCCCGGGTTAGAATTGGTCTTCAGCAATGCATGCTTGTCGTATGAGGTGACTAATGGGATGGGGTGGTCAGACTCGCTGACTTGGTTGACACATGTCATCATATCCCAGCTGCCTAGATCATGCTGTTGATCACTGGATTGTCTGGTCCAGACTTGATTATTACAGGCCACTGCCATGTAGCTGGAATATTGCTGAGTGCGGCCTTAAACAACAAACGTACAACAAACAAACAAACATTACTTATTCAGAGTGTAATATCCTATGGTACTGATCATGCTTCTAACTGGAGTCTATGCTGTAAAGGTGGACATTTATTGAATAGATACAATTTGAAAAAGGGTATTTTCAGCTGTAAGTGTAAGTGTTTTTATTGATGGTTTAATGGTGGTGTTGTAGTGTGACTTAAAGGTATGTGATGCTATACAGAAACTATTGTCTTATTTTCAGTCTTATCAAGTGCTCTTGTTAAAGAAGGAACCTATGGTATGGGAGACATGTTAATTTCAATTCTAGTGGTTCATATACAAGAGCAGTCATTTGTTCATGATTAAATTACCTAGATAGAAACCTAACAATTTAATTGATCTCAGTTTTGTACCTACCAAGAAAAGGTATAAGAGCCATTTTGGGAATGGCAGAAGTAAATGCAACATATCTTCTGATGTCTAAAACTTCAGACTTTTTTTGCTTAGATGTTTCAGCATTGAAATTTAATAAAAATAAATCTAACAGTTTCTAAAGTGTCCAAAAATTGTTCATATGTGAATACTTTTTCTTGTCAATTTAAAGATGTATCAGATGAATCACCCAAACAAAATGGGGGTAAGAATTTTGTTACTGTACTGAACTTAATCAAGTCAAGTAGATTAACAAAATAACCTTTTTAGTAAGCTGGTTGCAGATGTTATATGGAGTTGTTAAAAAACAAAACAAGAACTTTTCTGTATTTTTGTGTCAGAATGTAGAAAATATATTCCCTACCCTAAAGTATGTGATTAATTCTTCTTGAAGTTGACATCTGATTACCGATATTTAACTTTTTTAGAATATTTTATTGGCACAGATTGGTTCTTAGCTTGCTTCTACCAAAGGTTAATGTGTTGATCATGTGTTGTGGTCATGCTGTAAAACTTTGAAAACACATGGATTATGAAGGCAAAACTACTTGCATGGTCTTGTAATTTAGCGTACAAATATTGTAAAAACTTAACAAGGCTTTATGAATACACATGTGAATGACCATATTTTTACTTAGATTATCTATTGGTGTATTAAAACTTTTGTCTTCATTGAGAACCAGCAAGAATTTTTTATTGTTTGTGTTCAATTTAAAGACAGAACTGATCGTTCATCCAAAAAGCATGGGGGTAAGATAAATTGATTTTTATCATACATGTACTTCAAATTCATTTTATTCAGTGCATTTTAATCATGCATTTTTGTTTATGATCAATTCAAATGTTAGTGATGATTATGATTATATGTTAATGGAAGTGAGTTGTAGTTATATTTTGACCACTTTTATGTTTGTTCTTAACAGAAATTAGATAGCTTATTTTTCCTTCATAAGACTTTTATTTTTCCTTGATTTTCTTCATCAAGACAAGGACCAGAAGTTTAATAATTTTAAAAACAAAATGTATAGTATTCACAGTTTAACACACAAAAAATATGCAGTAAGATGTCCTAATTTTCTTTCAAATACTGATTACCTGGACTGGTAAATTCTGAGAAATGAATTACACATGTACTACATTTTACATTGTAATTTTGAAGAATTCATGAATCAAGGACAAACAAAAGTCTGGTCTCTCAATTAAAATTCATAGATTGTAGTTCTAGTGCTAGTTAGATGTACAAAAATAAGATTCTTGAACTGAAGATGGAACTGATCATTCACCAAATAAACGCAAACAGGAAGGTGAAAGTGATAAGCTTAGTCAGCATTATTGTCACTCAATAAGCTATTTGGTAAATAATAAACATTTAAATATATATGCTGTTTCTATTATTACATAGAAATAAGCCTGTATGCTCAACAAACATTAATGGACTATATAATTCACTGACTTAGTGATGTTGCAGGGGTTTTGCTGGTTTGACAAGGCCTTGAACTTTAAAATCACTCTTGAAAGACCTTGGTATTTTTTGCCAACCTTGAATAAATCCAAAATGGTTTGATGACTTGAATTTGCACCAAAATGACCTATTCTTGTCAATATAAATCTTAAAACACACAAAAGTACCTACGATGAATTTTTGTGTGTGATGCATCTGTGAGCCAGTGGCCATGAAGAATTCATGACAAACTTAATGAAATTATTTTGTTGCTTGGGAAAATATATCCTGATAGGATATTTGTGATGGTCATATTGCTTTTTAGGTCTTACAGCTGCAATAGGTCTAACAACTTACAATATATAGTATGCTGGATGTAATATATTGATTAATAATATTGAAAGACTAATAACCCTGTTAAAATAGTCTTGAATGACAGAATGCTTAAAATGCCTTGAAAAGGCCTTGAATGTTCATGTCTAATGTCTGTCAGTACATTTACTTCCATCATATCATGCACTGATAGCAAGCAAACTTTGATGGACATTTATGATGCAAAATGCTAAGAGACCCTCAAGCTTCTCTAGTAGATGATCACACTTCTTCAAACTGAGGTATAAATGGATCAATGTTGTAGAAATATTTGGTTTTGGTTGACTGAGTATAAAACCTGTGTTATACATGTATTTTCATATTTATATTTGAAGACGAAATGAATGAATCATCAAGAAAGAATCATCGTGGTAAGATGTGTTTCAACTTAACTGCAGTTTTCACAAAGTGGTTACTAATACTGTGATTTGCTGGGTGATGTTTAGGTGAATTATTTTCATAGAAAAGTGTTGTTTTTTTCGGACATTGAATTTTAACCAACATTTTTTATTCAAATTAAAATTTTAAATGTGGAAAGTATCTTATGTAAATTTGTGAAACAGAAAACTTTAAGTTTTGAATTTCTTGTCACTTTCAAGATGACCCTGATGAATCTTCAAATGCTCGAAAAGGAAGGGGTAAGATGATTTTATCAATCTAGGTACTAATAATCAAATTAAAATCTACTAACCAATCATTCCCCAGAATATATCTGAAGTATTGTACAGTAACTTTACATTTGAGGTCATGTACATCATCAGAAATACCCTCAAGGAATGCTTGAAAACTGGGATTTGATTTGGCAAATATTATACGGTGATGTTATTGATTCCAAGGTGAAACTGATGACTCACTTAATGAACACGTCCACCGGGGTAAGAACAGTTGAAGTTTGTATGCCATTGGTTTCAAATACTTGGTTTACTGATGTATTTTCCTGTGAAATCTGTTGACAAATGTCAGTGAAATGTAACCTTCAGTAAGTGAATGTGAACAACTTACCGCAATCCTTCCAAGAAATAATCTGAACTTGTTTCTTTGACTGGTTTGATAGCATCCCTCTGACCACAGTTTTCACTGTTTTGTTATGCTTTAAAAAATACATCCTTTCAAAAATACTGTAAGTTTCAGTGTCTGTCTGACCATTGAAAATTCACAGGACCCATAGATTAAAATTAAACTCACATTTCATTGAATTGAAATTATTTACAAACATAAGATTTATAAACAGCAATAAACAGCAAACAACTGTCACATCTGTAGTTCAATTTGTCAGAGGGTCAATATTCGTTTATACATCAGTGAATATCTGTAGTTCAAGTAATAACAAATACCACATTAGAATGATTGATTGTGTGTTGTGTAATAAAATGATTTATTCCTTTTTAACACACCTAATTTATCAAACTTAAAATATGTCAGCATTACCTGGAAATAATAGGGCATTTTTCTGATAAACTGAAAGAAACAAAGAAAAACGGATGTTAAAAAACACATATATTAATACATATGTTCAATTTGATCATCTACATTTGTCAAGGAGTATGTGATTCATTGTGGCTGCCAATGAGCTAAGGTTTTACTTTTAGCCCTTTGTTTCAAGCTTATGAGTTTGTATGGACATCTCTGTCACTTCAGATTCTACTTTCTGATTTGAGTGTGAAGTACACCTAAGCAGTTGTGTATCAACTTATATCACTCTCTTGCATTATCATTGCTTATATTCATTTGGATGTTTATAAAGTCAGTATCCTCATCCAAATAATCTGTGAAGATCCGGGTTAGAATTGATCTTCAGTAACCCATACATGTCGTAAGACTAACGGGATCGGGTGGTCAGACTCGCTGACTTGGTTGACACATGTTATCGTATCTCAGTTGCGTAGATTGATGCTCATGCTGTTGATCACTAGATTGTCTGGTCCAGACTCGATTATTTACAGACCGCCATCATATAGCTGGAATATTGTTGAGTGTGGCGTAAAACTAAACTTACTCACTCCTGATCCAAATAATCATTATTTCTACTAAGGTTTTATGGACTATCCACAAATGTTAATTTTGACTGAGGCTCTCTGGAGTTTGCTGAGAAAATATTCACTTTATAAAGGCATTTATTTGTCAAGAACCTAAAACTCAGTTCATTTATATTTATTGAGGACATTAATGTTTTCTCACTTTGAAGATAAAAAAGATCGGTCATCTAAAAAACATCAGCGTTGGGGTGAGCTAACTTAATTTGATTTAATTTTGTTTGGTTAGTTTGCTTGTAAAACTAATTAAATTTTGTTTGCAGAAAGGTGTTTATGCTATGAACAAAAGTTTCATTTTATGAAATCAATTGTTTTATCATGCAAATTAAATTGTGAGATTGAAAGATTCCTATGCCTTTCATCTTTTGCTAGCTGAAAAGTAGAAAAATTTGTTAGTCAGTATGCAGCTAAAGTTTCAAGTGCTGTCAGTAATAGATAAGTGATACTTAACATTATGAGAAATACATTCTCCTTAACCATTTTACAGTATTTATTGCAAATGTTATCTCGTTCATTTCAAGATGACAGAAATGGGTCACCACATTCTCACAGGCGTGGGGGTAAGAATGTTATATATGAATCATAAATATGAATGTTATGTATGAATACAAAATTACCATTAGATCATTATTCCTTAAGATGACATATTTTCACTCTGCATTTAAAATAGTTATAAAACGTGTGTACTTCATAAAATTATACAACCATTTCTACAGCCATATTCATTAATCTTCTGTGTCGAGGAATAGGTCAACTTCTAAAAAATATTTTTGACTGCTGAAGCAGAGATTTACACTTTCTTCATGGAAACAAGAAACATTATAGCAGTCACCTTGTGAGAGAGATCTATATATCCAGTTGAGACAAATTGCAAGAATATTCGTTTTCTTCATTTTAAGATGAAACTTACCGACCATCAAATAAATATCAACATGGAGGTAAGAACAGACTATAGCTTGGCCAACAAATCAAGATAATGTATTAGTTTAACAAATCAGCACAAAGGTAGTTGTATTCTTTCATACTTAAATTGTTTCTGTCAGAATAGCCTCAAGAATTAACCATATTTTTATTGTAAGCATATTTTAACAAATATAAATATAGTTATTTAGAAGATACAGTATGGAATACCCTTTTGAAAATGTATGTAACAAAACTATTATAAACTTGTAGCTTTGTTTTTATCTCAACTTTTTCATATAACATCTGACAATTACAATTTTGTTTACTTTGAAAGATGGGAGAGATCGGTCACCTGATAGACATCAGCGTGGGGGTAAGATAAGTTAATAGATAATCGTTTAAATTTCAAATAATATTTCTACTTGCTGATTGACACATAGAATAATGTATAGCAACATTGGACTATGAGAACTATGTGTTTTATTCATATGAAGACAATAACTTTTTCATATAACACCTGACAATTACAATTTTGTTTACTTTGAAAGATGGGAAAGATCGGTCACCTGATAGACATCAGCGTGGGGGTAAGATAAGTTAATAGATAATCATTTTTATTTCAAATAAATATTTCTTCTTGCTGATTGACACACAGAATATATAATGCATAGCAACATTGAAGTATAAAAACTATGTGTTTTCCTCATTTGAGGACAATATGAGGTACTTATCATTAAATAAAGATCAGAATTAACACAAAATGCTAATACATTTTGAACTATTCGACTTTGTGACAAAGGTTAACAACTGAAATATAAAGATCGTTATGATAAATAAGGATATAGATTGAACAGATAGTTTAACAGATTATAAACCATACTTTCTCTGGTGTTCAAGATGGAACTGATCGAACATCAAACTCAGATAAACGTGGTGGTAACGTATTACATCAATGCTGCTACAGTTACCTGGCTTCAACTATTAACGTTTTCCTTTTCAGTACTAACAAATATCCTGTATGCTCAATAGATCAAGTATAACAGGTTGAACATGCTCTAATTCTGTGAATACTAGTAGCATCTTTGTGGTAAAGACTGTCTTGCTCATGAAATGAGCTCATCTGTTCCTGCTGTGCATTTCTGTCTGCAGTTATTGGTAACGTGATCTCAGAAGAAAACATTCCACTGGGAGTGTACAGGGCAAAGTAACCCAAACATTGAACTATGCTTTAAGGATATACTACTCAAACTTTGGTAGGGATATTGTTCTATACCAGAGGGAGACTGGAAATTTTTCGTCAAGGCTGTGAACTGAATGTACAGATAGATATGTGCCAAATTTACAAATTTTCATGTCCAGTTAGGGTAACTCAGTGGGAAGGCATTTGCTCATCACTACAAAGGTCTGGGCTTGATTCTCCATGTTTGTAAAGCCCATATAGAGTTTTCCCAGCCATAATGCTGTGGGAATATTGCTAGGAGCACTGAAAGTTTGCTGACTCAGTACAGGACTGAGGCACATATGTGGAGTCCTTATACTAGTAGTTGATGTTCCACTTTCTTTGTCCTCTGTTCCTTGTCTTGTGTTAGAGATTTGAGTTTAAAGACTTTTTGTCATTCAAAATATTGTACACTATCATACAGTAATATAATGGAGTGTATTAGTTCCCCCATAGAAGATGCAAAGAGAAATGGAGAGATTGTATTTACTGTAGATGTTTTCTTTACTCAAATTTCTTTTAAACGAGTCATAGTACCAGAATGGGTAAAAGTGTTTTTATCATATACCTGATGAGATTTTCAACATATGACTTCGTGCTGACAAAAAAGACTTTTTCATATATCATAATTTCTGGTATTGTTGTTACCTATACAATATCCTTATCAAAAGTTGAGTTGTATTCCAGTGCATTATTCTGTACCTCTACTCCAGAGTATGCTAGTAGATGACAGTCGGGTCTAAAGCTAGTTTATAAGAATCTTTCAATGTTCATATTTTACTACAAATATTAGCTCCTTTATGCTTCACATAAGTTCAGACTTTTCTTAATCTTCTCTGTCCACTGTAAATGAATAGTTCTTAAATCTGTGTTTGTTGTCAGACACATTTGACTCATGTGTGGTGTATTAGAGCTGACACAGATGGACTCAACAATTAAAAAAGATTTTCGTGGACACAGTCATCAGATTCCATCATAACCTGTAATTTGTATTTTTCATTTAAAGATGGGACAGATCGATCATCACGCACACATCCACGTGGGGGTAAGATAATCCTCTGACTCCAGGCCTGATATATAGCCTAACCTTCACTATGTAAAGTGGATGTTATGAAGGGGTTATTGGTGTGTCTACTTCCTGTAATATCTAACCTGTCTTCATGCTGTCATCAATTCCTTTGCTTCATATATGAAATGTATGGTCATTGGATGATATGTCATAAATAATATACTCTTTTGAGTGGGTTGGCTTTCTTTGACTTTTGCTTGAATTAATGTGTGGGACCTTTGACCTTATCAATTGTACATCGAAACATGCATCCAGTTTTACGTTAATGTACACACACCCATCCCCCAGGTGGCTGGTAGTGTTGTGATTGAAGCTGTTATTTGTCACTGAAATAGTCTCTTCTCTGGTGTCCCTTTCATGTGTCCCGGTTATATTACCTCGAAAAGTGGCATGAAACTAGCTGACCCATTCAATATACACCGAGCCCCTTATGTTCATTCTTGACTTATGTTGTCAGACACCTGTGAGATTTTTAACTACCTCAACATCATAGGGCTACATACATGCTCTTTCTTTGATAATGTAGGGAGGACAAAATACTCATGGAAGCAAAAAATGTTTCACTTTGATGATAGCATGGTCAGCAGATGTTCTTTCTTTGGGCACTGCAAAGGGTAACTCGTTTCTCTGATTTACATCTATATTTATGTACTTCTATATACATGGTCTGGTATTTTGTTAGGTAAGGCAATGCATTCTCTTTGACAACATATGGTCTATATCTGATAATAATATACATCAATATATGCTTCATCTTTGATCATGACGTAACCTTACATATGTACTATTTTCCCTCATTATCACAAAGGTTGTCATTTCCTCTTTTATTTGATAAATGAAGGAAAACATTCTCTGTGACGAATTTTCACATCTGCCAGTATGCTTTATATTTGTTTATGCCAACATATGTATCTTCCTTGATGACTGTTTAAAAGACATGTTATGTAATTCTGTGGGGAAATATTCTTTGTGTAATACGCCATCTTTAATGCTGAATAGTTTTGTAATTAATTAGGGGGAAAAAAAAAAATGAATCTGAATATTTCAATTTCATAGAACTGGCATTTTAGGGTCATTTCTTTTCCCTAAATACAAATAGAGTTTTAAGATTTTGTTTTGTTTTTGTTTTTTTCAATTTGAAGATGGGAAGGATCGGTCTTCACATGCTCGTCAACGTGGGGGTAAGATCCGCATATCTGCTCATGTATATAAACTCTACTAAAATATCTTTGTTTGTAATAACAAATACGTTACAAAATATCAACAAGTTACTTTGTGTACATGTATTAATTATTTAAATGATAGATGAAAGGATGTTTAGTGAAAACTTTTCCTTTTTTCAAATGAACATATTTTGTGGTTTCACCAAATGATAGAAATATGTTCGATGACCATTCATTTAGTATTTAAGATGCATAATAATAACTTCAGTTGATATTTGCTAGGGTTTTATGCAACTCTGCATTTGTTTACATTTTGAGATATTTGGTGTGTGTTGCGGATTGAGCAAATGACAGACGGTCAGACCATTATGCGAACTGTATTTTCCGTTAGGTTTTTTGACACATAATTGAATATGGCTGTTTTCTTAATGTCCTGAGAAAATATAGGCCACTCAGTCTAAGGGAGACAACTCTTCCTGAACTGTGGGTTAGTATTTGCAATACACTTCGTAGAGACTTTGTTGCCTCGATAAGAATAGTACATTCTGTCTTCTCATCGAATCATAGCACAAAGTCTTAAATATATCTTGTAGATGCCTTGCTCATAAAATATAAGGCCCAATCTCTGTCTTCCTCTCCTTTCTTGACTTAAAGTATACAACAGAATCTTATTTCTCGTCACTTCCGAGTCGCTATTTCTAGAATATCTGAATACCAAATGTAGAATTAATTAAAGGGTCGTTTTAGCCATGTGTTCAGTTAGTGCATAAGGAATTTTTAGCAACATCATCATTTGGGTTCTATAAGTGGGACATTTTATTAGTGCTTTCGGCTGATTACAGTTGTGCTCTTGTTGAATGGCAACAGATTTTGTTTTGCTAATAAAAGCATTTTGGTGAGCATTTGGGTGAATGAAAGAATGCAAGAACTGGTTGGTCACATGTTAAGGTGTGCAAGGTTTTCATTAGCAAATAAATCTCACATATAAAATATGCAACTTACATGCTTTAATGAGAAGCTATGCCTATATAGTGCCAATGGTATACAGTGCTTGCAGTATGGATTCTCCAACCTTTAACCATGATAAAGCTAGTTAATCTGCTTGACTACTGGAATAATTAAACATAACACTAGTAAAATAACTAGCATTGTTTAGCATTCATGAGAGATTCAATGTAAGTGTATAATGAGTTATTATTTTTCATAATATGATGTGTACCCAGTATGTTATGGCTGTCTCACTGTCACATAGATGACATACATAGTCTTTCACCTTTAGCAGTCATATATCACTGAAGCTAATAGTTCATGTAACTTGCCCACAGGGATTGAAAGCATTTCCACAAACCAAACTTGAATGTTTTCCATATGTGTATCAGTGATCGCTTACAGTTCTGTGATGTGATGTTATACAATCATATGAAGACCATTATGTAACAAATTGTGAGGCGTTAGTAATAGTAAGTTGTCAGTGTTTCTACTCCAGTCTGGATTTAATCCTCAACAACATAGACAAGTGGCAAGAGGAACCTTGATGGATTGGGTGATTGGCAGGTGACCTGATTGATGGCTTGTCAGTGGACAGTGTCAGTAATATCAATCACTGGATAGTCTAGCCCAGTGTCTATGCGTAATCCTATCAAAATCGCATAACAAAACGGACATTGAGATTTCAGTCTATCGCTGATTTGCAGAATATGAATATTCTCAGCATAGCTTCGACAGATGTTTTCCAAAATCTTTTCATGTTTTTATCACTGGTGCTCAAATAATTTGATGCACTTCCTGAATATGATAAAGATCATTACTATTAGTCTGATTGTCTTGATGCTGCCATTGTATTTGAAGCAAATACAAGTACAGTAGAATACTTTTATAACGAACACGGATATAACGAACTGATGGCTATAGCAAACTGTTTTAAAAGTCCCGAATAAACCTTATATTATCATATAAAAACATGATTAGCGAACTATGGATATAACAAACTAATTTCAGTGGTCCCCTGGAGTTCGTTATGAAGGTATTTAACTGTAATATGAAAGAAGGATCTAATTGGTCAAGACTCATAATAGCCACTGGTGGCATTACACTTGACACATGAAATATACAACATTCGTGCATACTTAGGTCCACGAAACATCCCATCCGTCAATGGTTATTCAGATGCCTTGAACAGCTGGTTTGGAGAAACAAAATTGAAATGCCTACTACCTCACAACATTGAAAAAATTGGATTAAAATTAATCCATGATTTATTGAAGCTGAAAAACAGATAATATGGATTAAATATGTTAGGTTTGTGGAAATTCTTTTAATCTCCAGAATGTAGGAGGTATAGTCCAGCACTTCACAAGTAGATATTTAGGAATCCCATGTACTAAGCAGCTTGAACCAAATACATGACAGAATGCAAACAAGGGTTGATCGATATATATTCATTGTTAATAATACATGCTGCAATAGTTGAAATGCTAGCAATTAACTGAAATGGTTTCAATGCATTTTGTAATGTAACAAGCATGTGGATTGTATGTTTTGCAATTGACATGCAATATATATAATATATCTTATTTACAGAATTCATTTTCAGTTACTTGTTGTGTTGTGCATGCAGTATGCATACTAATAACATATAGTTGCCCCTGTTGATGCCAATAGTTAGTTTCGCTTACACTAACAACATCCCCTACCACCTTCCTTTGCGTCTCCTGCTTTTGGAGGTCAGCTTGCATAATCAGTAGAACCTTACATCACCTTGTCATCGAGGTTTATACACAAACTGCGAAACAGGTCAAGTGTTCAATGAGATAAGCCATATACTTAGATACAGATTCCTTGGAATTTATAGTACGGTCTGGTAGGGTAATGGGACAGTAGATTCATAGTGTTTCAGAAAACATATTGGTGGCATTCTGGTTTCATCTGTGACAAATTTCACCAAAACTGAATTTTTTAAAGCAAAATTCCTGCAAATGGACTCTATTAAAATGCGTTTAAAAAGGTTTTAATAATATTTGTACCGAAAGGAAATCGAAGGATATTAATGTTTTGGTCATCCATGCTATGGTGAGTGGAATCTATGTGGAACCCATGTTGTTCCTATCACATGACACAACACTCCCCTTGAGAAAGGTGGAACTTCAACAAATTGTTGAAGTGTTTCGTTTTGGATTGTTTCTAGTGTTAAGTATTTGGTGCCTAAATGATTTGAGCACAGCTTAACTATTTCAAAATTGAAAATTGAGATTTGGCAGTACCAGGATAATGCAGAAGATTTTGTTTATCACAAATGGAGTCTTGCCCAGAGCATTACATGTGTAGGACATGAAGTAGAGTGGGAAAAGCTATATGTGATTGAAGTAACAGGAAAATATTATAGTATAGACATTTTGAGGTATTAGTCACAAATTTAAATATCTGGTCATTTCGACCAGATAAATATGATCATCGAAAGTATCAAACTGAGATTTACCAATGGCCAGTTCTCGCTGCTGTGTATAACACGATGATCGATGTAAGAGTAGATTGCTGTACTATTTTCCACAATACTCATTCAGTCTGTACTGCCTTGTGCAGCAGGTGTATTGCAATCACACTGCAGGTGCCTCTCAGTGATGTCACAACGTGCATTCTGTTGCACCGTATTGTATATTTGCTGCAAGGCTCCTGTATGTGCACTGCATGTCCCCTGCAAGAGTACTGCATGTTATGCAGATTGTATGTGTATTGTGTGTACACTAAACTCTATGTTATCACAGGTGTATCACTCGTGAGGCAATACTGTTTCACACAACTCTGTATTATTGAGACAAATTTGTAAACAAAATATAATTATTCTGTATTTCTTTATCAAAACTGAAAAAAAGTCCGAAATTATCAAAAACATTGTTACAATTTTTCCTTATTTCTTTGAAATCTGAAATAGCAAACAAAATTTTGTGTTTTTTTACTATTTTGAAGATGACAATGGTGAAAATTGAAAGTTATATCTTGAAATAAGTACACCAGAGAAAGCAGACACTTTTTACATTGAAATATACAACTATAATTTTATATATCACGAAATTAGAGTTTAAAAAAATATTTATCTTTTTGATAAATGTTAAATCCCTGTATTGTACTTACCATTTGAGGATAAACCATATCAAGTTTGATAGTTGTCTCCCCTGGCAGACTTGTGTGACAGTAGTCTCCCCTTTCCTACCATGCGGGTGTTACACCATGTAGTGCTTGTAGCCTTGATCTTCACAGTCCAGGAAACAAGCCTATCTTTTTTCATCCTGTCTTACACAGATGCGGCCGATCTCCAGACAGAAAAATATAGTCGCTCGAAACGCGGCGGTGATAGGGTGTCCCCTTCTAGGCGATATACCCCAATCCCCAGACTTGACCCCTCCAGCCCCACTGGTAGTCGTGACCCCTCTCCTGAACGCACAGAGAGAGATCAGCAGTATAGGTCCAATTCTCGATCTCCTGATCGGAATTATGGTAAATATGATGATAGGAAACGGGAGGACAGTTATGATAGGAAAAACACTGATAGGTATGATGATCCCAGCAAAAGGAACAATGACCGTGACGATCCTCATGATAAGCGTGATAATCGCTACAATTATGATAACCGCTATGACAATCGCGATGACAACTACAATGATCCAGACACAGGCAATGACACAACAAGAGATAGGTTTGACCGTGAATCCCCCCGATCATCGGCGTAACCATGGTTACAAGAAGGATGGTGGCGGGGAGACATATCGCAGGTTGTCTCCTGACCCTGAGAGTTCAGTACATAGTTACCCAGTTCTTCCACCAATAAATGACACCCCTCCTCGTTCAGCAGAACGTGGCCCTGGTAAGCAGGGCGAGAATAAAGACCGCTCCTCAGATCCCCGCTCAGCAACTTACACCACCAATACCAATACCGACTCGGGCATTGCAGACTCAGGTGTTAGTCCAGAGGACCAGTACAACAGAGGACGGGACAACTATGAGGACGAACTAGCAAGGTGAGGCTCAAGGATGTCCCATGAGGCAATTCCTGTATTAATCACTATGCATACCACCGTACTTATACACAGATCAGGTCTGGATTTTGGTTTTGTAGAGGCTTAGCTTGTTGTAAGAGGCTACATAAAGGATGGGATTATCAGGGTGATGGGATACTTGATTGTATTTCAGTGTCACCTGGTGGCAACAGGTGTGTCTTGTAGTATGAATCATTTGCTTCTTCTGAACCCAAATCAGTTATTTGCATACAATCTAGCTGGAACACTCTGTGTTGTATTATTCAACAGACAAATACATTCAGTGTATGAGACCCAAGTTCACATTGCTATTGTATTGGACTAAAGCTTGTATGGAGGGAAGACAAGTTCCTACTGCTTATCTCAGTTAGAACCTGAGTGCAATAGTGTGTCATTGTATTCATGTGTGCCTTCTCAAACTGAAGTGTAATTATTCTTGTTTCTTATTTCACACTGTCATTCCCTCAGAAGGGTTTAAATGTAAATCATACAATCAAGAGGCCTTTGCCCATGAGAAATTACAGGGAAGGGAGGTAACTCAAATTACCTTCGAGGTTGGGAATCGATGGGAGTTTTATAAGAAAGAAGTGATGATTGATGCTTATATGTTTCTTACATCTGATTAAACATCATTGATAGTGCAAGAGCTTGTTTCTCTGGTTCAGACTCAGTCATATGGCCCTGTCATCTAAGGCACTGCAATTCACTGCTCAGAGTTACATCCCTTGGGTATACCGAATTTGTGATACATGATATGTTTCTTGGTTTGTCAGTGTCATACCCATGCTTATTGCTTTTACCAAAGTGTTGAACATTTGAGACCAGCATCACTTCAGGCTTTCCTAGGGGGGTGGGGTTATCTCGTGGTTAAGGTGTTCGTTCATCACGCTGAAGACCTGGGTTCGATTCCCCATATGGGTACAATGTGTGAAGCCCATTTCTGGTGTATAGAAGCGGCATAAAACTACACTCATTCACTCATGCTTTCCTACCACCTTTCCTTTAAATTATAACTGACATGTCATGAATCCCATGATGCAACTGGAATTTATGTCAAAATGCAACTCACATGTGTAAATGCCATCATTATAGAAGGTGGAATATCAGAAATATTAAACAAAACTATTTATCATAAGTTATCAAAAGTGAATCAGTATTTAGCTATTAAGGCTGAAGCAATCTTCAACAAGGGATAGTATCCCTTGATTTTATGAATTCTAAAACAAGGCTTCAACACCTTTCAGTGATATTTATGCTGTTTCAGGGAACAGTATGCACATGTTATGGTATACAAGTATCTTGTGCATTTTATGTGTAATTTAGTGCATTTATTATACAGATATGTTCTCACTATTGATATAACTGGCTGTTTTTTTAAGGCTGATCATCTTTGTTTAATGATATTCCAGGAAGCGCCGTGATCTTGGGAACAGGCTTGCCAATGACAAGTTTGATGCTTATGATGATGATGCCTTCCGGTTTGAAGACATGGAAGACCGGGACCAGATTGACCGGGACCGATGGGAACGTGATCGTGAGTACCGACGACGCTGGATTGAGGAAGAAAGGAGAAGACGAGAAGATGAGCTAGAAGCAAGGAAGAAGAGACAAGAGGCTGGGGAGGAAGATGATGACGATGATGACAGGAAGAAGATGAAGAGATCCGAATCTGAAGAGGTGCGAAAAAAATATTAACTTATTGAAGTCAATCATATTTCCTTTCTATAAATTTTTCATTTTAGGAAATATATGGAAGTTTATTTTTTAAGAAAAGCAAGATTTATGGAAGTGAACTTCCTTGTAGTGAATAACACAACGTTTCGGAGTGTATGCTTACTTCTTCATCAGCTGATTGGAGTAAGCATACACTCCGAAACATCGTTTTATTCCCTCTAAAGAAGTTGACATCCATAAATCTTGCTTTTCTTAATGCCCTTTAAAGATTTGAGTTTGTTTTTTGTTAAACACATGTCTCTCTCTGTAACAACTTTATTCTTCACTAAACCTTTTCTGTGTGTAAAATTTCAGAAACTGGTCAACAATCACATAGCACTGGAACTAATGCAACTGTTTTCTGTTTTGTATTTTTCAAACTCCTTGAAACCTATTTTCAACATTGTAGGAACTAGCTAGGTACCCTTCCCCCCCAGAACTGAGAATGGACTCCCCGAGGGACACTGAGTCAGCCAGACAGAGGACAAGGCAAGAAAGTAAGTCCACAGTCTAGTTTGATAGTTTCATATTTTGTTGAAGAATTTGTCCTCTCTGCTAATTCAATTCTCTGCAAAGGGGTGAGTGAGTGAGCATGGTTTTACTCCACTTTTATCACTATTCCACCAATATCATGCCAGAGGACATGTACACCAGTAACTGGCTTCATACATTGCACCCATGTGGGGAATTGAACCCCGGGTCTTTTCCATGATGATACTGAAAGCTTTAACCACTCGGCTATCCCACTGACCCCTCTGCAAGGAACGACAGCCTCCGTGGTGTAGTGGTTAGAGCGTCCGCCCGGAGAGCGGAAGGTCGCGGGTTCGATCCCCGATGGCATCATACCAAAAGACGTTAAAATATGGTACTTGTTGGTCCCTGCCTGGCGCTTGGCATTAATGGGTACAACAAGGACTGGTCAGCTCGGAGTCAGTATAATGTGTCTGAGTGGGGTATTCATGCTTCACTGCGGCATGGTATCTCAGTGGGCTAGCACTATAAAACCAGCTTCAGTCTGGGGTAGTACAAGCAGCCGCACATACACATGCATGCATGTCGTCATATGAGCGAAATATTCTCAAGCACGACGTCAAACCCAATTTCACCTCACCTCACCTCTGCAAGGAACAATCTGTGAAGGTGATACTGGCAATCACTTGCCGTGATGTGGTAATATTGCTCAGTGCAGTATGAACTCTGATCTCCGTATGAGTTTTTGTAATGATGTTTTACTAAGATAATGTTCAATGTTCCAGGGGACCGTCTGATGCACGAGCTAGAGAATGCCCGGGAAGGCAGGAAGCACACCGAGAAGGAGAGGGAAGAGCTAGTCAAGAAAGCCAAGATGCTGCAGAATAAGACGCAGAACCGGAGGAACCACGGTAGGCAGCAGCCATCTTTGTATCACAGTAGGGCCTGACAATTATCACTGTTGAAAATGTGCCAGTTAGCATTTAAAATTTTCATTTCTCTCTTTTTGTTAAGACAGTGAAACATATCTACTACAACCCAGTCAAAGTGGCTGGCCAGCATATCTGATAAAACAGTGAAACATATCTACTACAAGCCAGTCAAGTGGCTGGCCAGCATATCTGATAAAACTCCTGATGTATTGGATTGTTTTCCATCCATTAAAGTTAACGTCTATAAATAAATTTAAGATTTTTTTTCAACAAAGAAAGACATTTATTTATTTGGTTTGTTGTTAAACACCACACACAGCAATAATCCAGTTATGTGATGGTAGTCTGTAAATAATCGAGTCAGGACCAAACAATCCTGTGATTAACATCATGAGCATTGATCTACTCAACTGGGATATGATGATGTTTCAACCTAGTCACCCGATACTGTTAATAGCCTCTTAATACGAGCATGGGCTCTAAAACATTAGTTCTACTTCCATCTTCGCATGGCAATCTAGCCTTAACCCCCAAACCACCAATATACCAATGTACTCTCAACTCTTCACAGTTTCCCAGAGTCTGCTACTTTATGTCTGATTTACACACATCACACTACCTATTTAGGATATTATCTACCTCACTGATTAGAGAGTCGAGCGTTAATGGCTGCCATTCACAGAAACCTCATATATTGCTCTGCGTCAAAGAAATGACGTTTTTAAGGGGAGACAACTCTTCAGGGCTTGTTTCTGTTAGCCTGAACAGTATAATAACTGATAAAAATAGATAAATAGATAATCCCATATAACACCAGATGTTCATAAAAAGGGTAAACATCTCTGTAAGTAGCATCTGCCATTCACTTAGGTTTCATGAAAACTTATAAATATTTCAATGAGTATAAAGTATTAAAAATTCATGCTAATATCCTAGTATGGGATAGCACTGTGTGTCACGTTGACAAACATCATGAAACTTCAGTAAATTTCTCTGCGTGTCGACCATAAAGTTTCTAGTATGATTTAAATAGGCTTTTGTTGTAAAACCTTCATTACAGAAAACAATAAAAACAATATGCTGTTTATTATCTAGTCTTTCAAATGGTACGTATAGCTATTTATAGTCACCTCTTACTATTAGTCATTGTCAAGTCTGTTTTTAAACAGCTCGGGATATATGGAAGAAAAGATACTTTGAAGAGAAGAAGAAGACTGCCCCTTTAGAGGAACAGACAAATCGTCTGAAGCATGAGCTGGATAGCATCCATCGGAAACTCATGTCCGCACTGGAGGGGCCCAAGGAGAAGAACATCCGATTGGGCGAACCAAAACCATCTCTCAAGGTCAGTTATTCCCTGTTGTCAGATAGCGGCATGAATATGTGACATTTTTTCATAGATAACAACTTCATTTATTGTTTGTAATAACAAACTTCTCCTGCCTCTTGGTCAAGTGAAATTTAGTAGGTGCATAGAGTATATATATACACATGGGGTGGTGGGGTAGCCCAGTGGTTAAAGTGTTCACTTGTCACGCCGAAGACCCAGGTTCGATTCCCCACATGGGTACAATGTGTTAAGCCCATTTCTGGTGTTCCCCGCCGTGATATTGGAATATTGCTAAAAGGCGGTATAAAACTAAACTCACTCACTATATACAAACATACACATGATGATATGTTTATACAAGCTAGGATTATTATATGAAGATAACAATATAATGAAGATAACAATGATATATAATGATATCTATAGCAATAAAAAGGTAATGAATTAATGGGAGAGAAACCAGTTACGTATTATTTGGACCTGTAAAGCCAAAATTATTCAGGAAAGTGGGCGTTTTCAAGAGAAAACATATAGATATCAAACAATATTTTTTACAAATTGATTTTCCTATCCATAGCTCACTGACTCTAACTTGACTCACTTCAATTTGTTCCCAGAAACCAACACAAGCACAGCATGTCCGACGGTATTAATTCTTGTCATGCATGTTGTCAATAACCTGTCACTCAAGTGTTTGTTTCATGCACTTCAGAATAACTACATAATCCTGTGCACTAAACTGCAACATGAAATTGAAGACCTTCGACGTCGAGTGGAAAATGCCAAAATGAAACTGACTGCCGAGATGAAGGTAAGGAAATTAATGTAGAAATTAACATAGAAGTGCACAATTACTAATCAATGCACACACAAATATCAGTACATTTCACTTGAATTAGAAGCTTAAGCTTTAATTGTCAATGTTACTTGTCCTGTCTGTTGTTAATAACAATTGTTGTGATTAATCGTTCTTCTGATTTTAGTGGCAGTGAGATTTTACCACTTTCATAATGTTATAGAGGATATTTGTAAGGAATTTTACTAGATATAGTTTGGTTCAAATCAAAAAGATTATGATTTTGTCAGTAAATATATTGTTTTTGTCATATTTAGTATGTGGATAAATATTGTGTGTTTAAGTTATATTGGGAAAAAATCTGAACAACAGTTATTGTTCCATCCTAAAGTCTCAGTACCTTTGCACATTTCGTAGTACTAATCCTGATCTTTAGATCCAGTCACCTTCCCTGTAGATTCTAACACTTTTTGACAGTTTGTAATTAATTAAAGTCAATTCTTATGAAACTAAAGTAACGAAGAAGTGTAGTGAGATTAATGTATAGAAACGACATAATAATTAGTTAATGTTTAGTTATGTCTTTATTTACATAATCCTTTCTTTTCTTTCTTTGCCTAGGTAAACATATTAATTAGCATGCCAAGATTTCCTGCAAGAGCAACGCCTACGTTAACGCCATATTAGGTAGAAATAGGAGGTACTACTGCTGATGTTTATTTCTTTGAGCATAGTGGCTAATCGTATGTGAGGGATGCCAAACTCATTGGATCAGAATCTTGTTTTGAAAAAAATAAAAAATATAAACGTTTGATATTTTGATACAAATATGTGGAGTTTTGAAATGATGTACTTTTTTTTCTAAAATGTATTTTAGACATGTATTTATGTGAAACATATATGTTTTATGTAAGCAAGCGTTAGATTCTGATCCTTTGATGTGGTATATACTTGAAGGCTAGAGCTTGTGGGACAATATAATGCTGCCTCATTGTTGCTAGTTGGTGGTTAGGAAACTTGTGTGATAAATAGGAAAAGCTTCATTTTGTCCCAGTTTACGCTCTGTATTGATTTATGATATGTTTCCTTACTGAGAAATTAATATTAACATATACCAGTTTACATATCAATTTTTACTCCATATTCTTAATTTATCCCTGTTTGAAAACTGAATTAGCTGTGCTGTTAATCTTAGAAGTAGTATGTGACCTATGTTAGGATATTAATAAATAATGTGTATTAATATCCAGTTGTTTAAAATAATCCTTAACGCTAAAATCATTTACTAATTTCAGATACTAGATGATAAACTGGGTCTTACATTAGTGTGTTGATCATTACTACGCTAGTGTAATTCACCCTAACAACATCCATTATGTATTAACTGATTAAAAGATCTAGATAATACTCCCTAATATTGTAGCTTCCATAATGATACTTATTTCCAAAGCTTTTCTTGTTTTTGTTGCTTATTGTGTTTATTGACTAAGCATAGTCGTAGTATACAAAGACCAAATAATCGCAAGTTTTATTGCAGTGAGATTAAAAACTTATACAACTTATGCTGTTATATTTGATATTTTATACAATAATTAATTTTTATTTGAAAAGAAAGGTGATGAATTTAATTGATGTTTGTTTATTATATATGAATACTCAATCTCTAAGATAAACATATATCTAACCATTAAGCATGTACTATATGTGTATATAATCAGCTGTTATAATAATCTCCGCTATATACTACATGTATGTTATATAAGTACTAACTGCATGTCTTCCCACTTCAGCAGCATAAGAAGGCGTGTCCTTACGCCACGATGTTTGACTTTGTACAGACATATGTACCTGCGTCTGTGCCTCCACCCGCCCACCGCCAGATCATGTGACTGTCTGCCTCACTCCCACTCGTCTCGTAGCTCTACCTCTGTCGCCTGTATTACGTCACGGCAAACTGCTGCAAACCACCCCCTCATATATAATGCAACCGTGAATTATTTATTTATTTATTTATTTATTTATTTATTTATTTATTTATTTATTTATTTATTTATTTATTTATTTATTTATTTATTTATCGTTATTTTATATCAAATATGAATTTTGTCTTTATATCCTTTTTTAAAAAACAACAACTGTTTACGTAAGGGGAGATATTTAATAATTTTCAGGCTTCTGAAACAGTAATTTTACGACTTCTGAAACGATAAAGGTACTAAAGGTTATGGGTCAGCTCTTCATGTTTGGTGATGGCTGTTAACTCTTTCTTTGGTGTTACGGAAACATGGCTTCTTTACTTTTGGCAGTACCTATGATTAATTTCAGATAAATGTGTTCTGTTCATATAAAATTCAAGCAACTTACTGAAAATAATATAACTTTTGTTTGCTTAAATGTATGTTGTTAACTTTTAAATTTGCTGCAAAATTATGCCAACCATTATCAGTTGGATGTCAAAATTGCTTTTATGAGAGTGTTCGAGATTCTATGCACTGGAACGGTTCACTAATATATTTCACTCATCACCCACAAAATATGTATGCACCTTTCGTTCACACTAATTTCCCAGTTTAACCTGTATGATCTTACATGGATATCCATGGATTGTGTGTTCCTTTTAGAAATATTATATACATGTTGATGTGAACGTATTTTCAAAATTGTCTTTGTGTTACAAACGTGAACTAATGAAAACCCTTCTGTAAAAGAGCATCAAGGGGTTCATTTTTCAAAAAAAATTCTGTTGTGAAAACTAAACTATCTCCATGATGACATCCTGACCGGACCATTTGCCGTTTTGCAGCTTCGAACCCAGGCCGATGCAGAGTTACGAGCAGTGAGAAGTGAGGCGTTACAAAGTAAGATCAAACATAGGGGCCATGCCTTCAGCCAAATATATTAATTTACAGCTTCGCAACCAAGCTGAAGCAGAGTTACGGGCCTTGCGAGCAGAACTTACACAGAAGAAAATCAACTTGACCTTGACCCGGAACCAACACCTTGCAGCCTTGAACCCTTCGGGAGAAGTGCCCTCGAGCCCACGCTCAGTTATTGCACCACAGTCTTAGGGATAATAGTACCATCGTGTAGTAATTTATTTACTGTTATTTATTCATATGACTCTACAGCACAGTATTCTTTGTCTATTCAAGAATGAGAATTATATTTAAAATATGTAACTAGGAATAAAGTGGATTTATATTTGATATGAAAATTCATGCTGATGGTGGGGAAATATGATTGAGAATGGTCATTTATGATAAATTGTAGATTATAAGATTATTTTCAAAACTGTCATTCATGGAAGTTTATTGTAGTTAATATATGTTGTAAAGTGTGTAGTTTTGAAGAAGCATTATACAGTATTTCAAAAAGTATTTATATAAAGTATTGCAAGAATAGATAAATTGTCAATGTCCCTAGTATGTCTATTGTTTAGAAACAGATCAAGAGGTGTATTACAACGCTGATTTCATCATGTCAATTGCAGTATTGAAATGTCATTTATAATACTATCTGAAAGTTTAGTTTAAGCTGCACATCATTTCCAACTTTGCTGTGCCTTATACTAGAGCAAGTGCTTCTATACAATCTAATGTCATATGCATTCATACACTTAGTGAGACACACCGAAAAAAGTACAGATTGTAAGTTGTACTTTATGTGTACAAATTGTATAGAATTGTTTGTCATGGATGTATATTTTGTAAATACTGTTGAAACATTCTGTAACAGCGAAACCAAACTTTTCATATGTGCGACATTAAAATGCAAACAGGTTACCACCTTGTTACAAGCTGTCATAAGATTTTGAATTATTTTCATGAATTTGTATCAAAATAAATAGTGATATGAAAGGGTTTGAAAATACTGCTTACCAACATGATTTAAAGAGCATGATAATATTTACCATAGTGATATATTTTCATATTGGACTAAACTGCTGAGTCGACCAAAATAAGAAATATGCTTTACTTTCATATTTGATTATCATTGAATAATTGTTTCATAATGGCATATAAAATCAAATGTATGTCTCACTTATGCGTTTCTGTGACTGAAATCTACCTGCCTGGTCGTATTAAACATTATGATATTGACATGGTACATTTTCAGTAATATCTTTAAGCTGTAAAGAATAAGCACATTTTCTTGCTCTTATATTTTTGGATTTGTCCCTGTAGTGTTCCTATGTTTTCCTATAATCTCTCTTAACTATGCTGTAAATACATGTATTTTATTTACAAAAGTACTGAAGTGCCAGTTTTATATATTTACAGTGTTTGTTCACAAACTAAGTTAAGCTTAAGTAAAGTTTAAGATTGTCTTTATTTACCATATTGTACATCTGTTTCCACATGTATATTTCTACCTGTCCTTTTCACAATTTTGTCTACTAATTATTTGATTTTTACACTCCAATAATGTTATAGGAAATGTTGCTTCAGTAATTCATTAAGGGAGACAGGTGCTTAATAATTGTTTGATTGTTTTTATGATTGTGGTGTTAGTTTCTCAATTGTCAACCACATTGCTCTAATAACCACATGTGTAACTTTTTGTAACACTCTGCTCATTTCCTGACCTGTTAGTGGATTTGTTGAGTATAATTCGTTATGTGGAGTTGTGGCCCTTTTCTGTGCCTGGATGTGATGGTCATTTGCATGAATCCACATTTACCCTGTTAAAAATCCTTGTGTTGCCAGAGCAAACCCATATTTGTGGGCTTTATCAAAGAAGCAAATGAATGTCCACAAGCAGCTTCATGTTTGATTTCGTTCTATAGGAACCAGCGTGTAACGATAATACTTTTTATAGTGCTATAAAATCTGAAACGCTTTCTCTTAAAGAGGTCAAAAACAGTGAAGTATGCCAATTATGTCTGTCAAAAGGCATTTCAGTATTGATATCGGAGCTTAGATCTGATGTATTACTGATCTCAAAGGAGTCCCATAACTAATTGTGTTTGTTTTTATTGCTGAACTCTTACCAAGATCTTACCAAGGATTCAGTTATGTTAAGGCTTTACATCTTACAGAATTAATGATCTGAAATATATTGATTTTTCAATCATGTAAGCTTTGTATTTCTTGGAAAAAAATTTTTTTCTCAAGTTTTAGGAATTTCACTGCATTTTGAATTAATAATGTTTGTCTGATGTGATATTTCAAATAATGAGTATGTTTGGTCCACACAACTCCTCTCAGAAGTCATGAAATCATATTTAATTATGATATCACTTTATTATTAGTCATAACCCCTCATTGTTATTGTATATTGTTAATGACTTTTCATAACTAATATCTGATTAATCAAGATGTACACCAATTTTCTTTTTTAAAAACATATCTTTTTCTATTTTAGTATTTTGTTCTTCCACAGACTTTATGTTACAGATTAGTTGAAGAAGGCACTTCCTAGTAATGTCAAATGTGCCTTTATATACAAACCGATTATGAATATATTGTTATACAGATCTTATTGTTGTACAGAATTTTGCAGAGCATGAAATGTTTATAGCAGCTACGTATAGCTGATTATATTATTCCGTCCTCTGTGACTTCATCAAAAGCATCATTGTGATATTTACGGTTTCTAGTTTGTCAGTTTCTACACCTTTTAAAAAGTACCAGTCACATGTTTTATGTTAAATATTTACCTTTGTTGACACTCCACTGTAAACATGTCTAAAAGTCAACTTGCTATTACCACTGATTATCACTGATTATCACTATCGACTTTTGTGTTATTATCATGGAATATCTGTACAAAAGTGAATTTATGGATTTATTAATGAAGCACAGACTTTTTGTATTAAGTTAGTTGACAGTGTTCAATACATTGTTATAAAGATATTTGGAAAAAGGATTATTTGTTAGTGATATGAATTTCTGATGCATCTTTTATTGTAGTGTATCATCATCAGTCATATCAGTGTATTGTAGTTTATGTTAATATTCTCAACCACCTATCAACTATTACGAGATCACTGTAACGTTTTGTATCTTCCTAGCAGCAGATTCTATTAAACAATGATCACTCTTTACATTCATATGTCTGTGTTTTGTTGTTTTCAATCCAATATATTTTTCTGCAGTTAAATTCCTTTTTGAAAATATGAACCTTTAAAGTATAAAAATAGTTGCAGTTACAAGTGAAACAAGTAGCAGTTTCAATTTGTAATTAAAAGAATTCAGGAGATTGTAAAAGTTAACTGTTGGGGCCTTGAATGTAAACCATGTGGTAGGGTGGAATTACTTGTGTTTTAGAATGTGTCTGAGGCTGGTATGTATGACGGGTTTACCCCTAGTCACCTCAGCTCACTTTAGGAATCTGTGAAGATTCCGGTTAGAATTGGTCTAACCGTAAGATGGGACTAACGAGATCTGGCCCCACTATCTCGAAACAAACTTAAGTTTTTACTCAAAATTCAAACTGAGTTTGACAATTTGAAACAGCTGAATTTTTAACTCAGCTGCTTTTTTAAAATAAAAAAGCCCAAACAACTTAAGTATTTTATTCACCAAACTCAAATTGTCTACTATGTTTGAGTTTAATATCAATTTCAGTTCAACATGGGAAATGCGTTTTCTCAAATTTGAGTAAAAATTCGAACTTTAGTCAAAACTCAGACTTAAGTTTGTTTCGAGAAATCGGGGCCTGCTGGACAGGTTGACAGAGGTCATGATATCCCAACTTTGTAGATTGATGCTCATGCTGCTGATTCACTGGATTGTCTGGTCCATTCTTGATTATTTACTTAAGCCCTCATTTAGCTGGACAATTGATGAGTGCTGTGTTAAACAATAAACAGACCCTATTTGACCTCAGCTCTTGTTAGGGAATTTGGAACTCGCTGAAAGTGTTTTTAAACTCTGACAGCATCAATTGTTGCTCATGCTATTGATCACATGTTTCCATGACGCAAATTCGATTTACAGTGTAAGAAAACAATCCCTTGCTTAATGTACCAAATCCTGCACAAAGTGACTTTTCATTCGTATGTTAGTGAGCTTTACCGTAAATGATGTCCCCACCTACTCACGACAAGAGGTGAGATGAAATGGGGTTTAACGTCGTACTTAAGAATATATCGTTCATATGACGACGTGCATGCGTGTGTATGTGTGGCTGCTTGTAAGTTGTACTAGCCCAGATTTAAGCCGGTTTTATAGTGCTAGCTCACTGAGATACCATGCCGCAGTTAGGCATGAATACCCCACTCAGACACATTATACTGTCCTTGTTGTACCCATTAATACCGAGCGCTAGACAGGGACCCTCTCGACAAGAATGGATGTGGGTGTTCTTGTAACTTGACAGGTTTCATGGCGTCACACTTCAAGGTGTGGAACGTGGTCCCTGGTTTCAGCTACTCCTGTTCCGGATCTATATAAGATCGCAACCCCACACTACAGACCTTAAAGGGGCACTGATCCGGAGCAATTTCCGTGGAGTAGTTGTTGTTTTTGTTGTAGTTATTCTCCCGCGAGTACCCGGATGATATCCAAGAATTCTTGACTGAATTCTGCCTTCCGTTCATTCTAACGTTAAACAAAATGCCAACTTCAGAATATAAGTCTCGATTATCCACCGGAACAGATACAATGTAGCTGAAATGGCAAAATAGCGGTGAAAATTATATGAACTAATTGAAATAAGTGATGACAAAGGTGTTCGTGATATGAAAAAAGTAAACTCCACCCACTCCCTGTTAGGGGTGACATGAGAACTATTTGGAGCTAGGTTTGTGGACCACGACATCTCTGACCCTCCATCTGCCCCTACCCTTCATCATGGTAAACTGTATGTACCTATGATGTCAGACAGAAGACACGATGGCCTACCCATCCTCCTCGCCTTCATCTAGTCCCCCCCAAATATATATACCCATCCTCCTCGCCTTCATCTAGTCCCTCCCAAATATATATAGAAATGTCAGTGTTGCAATAACTATCCTCACTGCAACGAGTAGTGATATTTTTGGTCACATCGACATGACATTTCTGGCAAATGTCAGTATTTCCGTTGTTTCAACGCAAACATACACAAACAACTCTTGATTTCTCACCTATACGTTCAAGTCACAAACAAACGTAAGCACTGTTAAGAAGCTCAGTTAAGAACATCTGTTTCATGTGCCAATTTTAATCATCTGTAGCTCATGTTCTCTTAGTGAGTGCACCTCTTGCTGAATGAAGGTGGCCGTACAAGCACATATCGTAATGCTAGACTGCTCTCTGAGGAGTAAATGAAAGCGGTATCCATTATGTTGAAACTCAGGAAGTATTTATGAGCACGTAAAAGGACCCTTATGTCCAACATTATTACTGTTTTTTTTAGGAACACGTGTCATAGCAATTACTTTAAAGAGGGAATATACATACTGTCCATGTCCCGTTGTGACTGCCGAAGACAAGAAATGGGCACGTTTACTACTTATAGTTCACAACCTATTTCTAAGTGCTTTTCGTGTCATTGTGCATCTTCAGGTTCGAGCGGAAAGTAAATCTATCATCGTTAAGCTGCAAACATCGCTCAGTAAAAACTCTGTTTCTCTGTTGGAAACGTTTCAAGGAATGCAAATGGCCTACAAAAACGTTTTTAAAAAACAAACACGGAACTCGTCAAGCAAAACTGTTTCTTCGGGAATGTTGGACTTGTTTTCCGTATTTGATGAAAGAAAGTTACCCGTTCCTACTTTTGTATTGTTACATGCGGCTACCGGGATCTTCATTGTGAAGAAAAAACTACGACGAGTCTGATCAAGGGCATTTTTGAAGTTTAATTAGAAGGAATAATAGGACTATAACTGTTACCATATTTTAGAAGCTTGCTAAACCTTGAATCTGGAAACCGAGGAAAAAGATCAGCATACCTAAATTATATTACAAAACGTTACATCTCGGCATTAATTCTATTGAAGTTGGGCATAAATATAGTTTTTCCTTTTTAGTATCTCGATATCTGATGCCTTATTTGTCCTGTGCGCACGATTCAATTGAAACGAAAGGATATCACACATGTATGTTGTAAATTTATTTAAAATTTAAAAAATCTGAAAAGAGCATTATGATAATACAATCTTGTAAGAACCCTTCCAATAATCGATAGAGATCTTTGCTGAAATCAAGATTCCACTGAATGAGCCCGTCAATATTCGCGTGTCCCGCACCACCGGTGGAGCCGCCGCATTATCACTGACTGACTGAGTTTAGTTTTACGCTGCTTTTAGCAATATTCCAGCAATATCACGGCGAGGGACACCAGAAATGGGCTTAACACATTGTGCCCATGTGGAGAATCGAACCCGGATCCTCGGCGTGACGAGCCAACGCTTTAACCACTAGGCTACCCCACCGCCCCGCCGCATTATCAAACTAGTGCGAATGAATGATGGTCAGTGATGCATTTGTATGCCAGCTTCACCTTTAACTACGGTGGTCCACGAACCACCGACTCTGGACAGCACACAATGAAGACGGAAATCATAGCAGCGGCTATCTTGTCACCTAAATCCCCATCATAATCGTCTTCTTTGGACAGCATGGTGAGCCGGGGACACCCTGGCCTGGAAACCAAAAAGGCTTAAACAATGAAGTAACTACTCGTCTTTTGGGACAAGCATGGTGTACTGGGGGACAGCCTGGCCTGGAAACCAAAGAGGCTTAAACAATGGAGTAACTAGTCGTCTTTTTGGACAAGCATGGTGTACTGGGGGACAGCCTGGTCTGGAAAATAAAGAGGCTTAAACAATGAAGTAACTAATCGTCTTTTTGGACAAGCATGGCGTACTGGGGGACACCCTGGCCTGGAAATCAAAGAGGCTTAAACAATGAAGTAACTAGTCGTCTTTTTGGACAAGCATGGTTTACTGGGGAACAGCCTGGTCTGGAAACCAAAGAGGCTTAAACAATGAAGTAACTAATCGTCTTTTGGGACAAGCATGGTGTACTGGGGGACAGCCTGGTCTGGAAACCAAAGAAGCTTAAACAATGAAGTGACTAATTCAATATGTGTTTTGGGACAAGCATGGTGTACTGGGGAACAGCCTGGTCTGGAAGCCAAAGAAGCTTAAACAATGAAGTAACTAATCGTCTCTTGGGACAAACATGGTGTACTGGGGGACACCCTGGCCTGGAAATCAAAGAGGCTTAAACAATGAAGTAACTAGTCGTCTTTTTGGACTGGTGTACTGGGGGACTGGTGTACTGGGGGACAACCTTGTCTGGAAACCAAATAGGCTTAAACAATGAAGTAACTAATCGTCTTTTGGGACAAGCATGGTGTACTGGGGGACAGCCTGGTGTGGAAACCAAAGAAGCTTAAACAATGAAGTGACTAATTCAATATGTGTTTTGGGACAAGCATGGTGTACTGGGGAAAAGCCTGGTCTGGAAGCCAAAGAAGCTTAAACAATGAAGTAACTAATCGTCTTTTGGGACAAGCATGGTGTACTGGAGGACAGCCTGGTTTGGAAACCAAAGAGGCTTAAACAATGAAGTAACTAGTCGTCTTTTGGGACAAGCATGGTGTACTGGGGGACAGCCTTGTCTGGAAAGCAAAGAGGCTTAAACAGTGAAGTAACTAATCGTCTCTTGGGACAAACATGGTGTCCCTGGTCCGGAAACCAAAAAGGCGTAATAATCGTCTTTTGGGGACAAATATGGTGTACTGGGGCACACACTGGCCTGGAAACCAAAGAGGCTTAAACATTGAGTGACTAATCGTCTCTTGGGACAAGCATGGTGTACTGGGGGACACCCTGGTCTGGAAACCTTAAACAGTTATTTACTAATCCTGATGATAACCCTGCAGCAAGAGACCGCCTCCGTGGTGTAGTGGTTAGAGCGCCCGCCCGGAGAGCGGAAGGTCGCGGGTTCGATCCCCGGCCGCGTCATACCAAAAGACGTTAAAATATGGTACTTGTTGGTCCCTGCCTGGCGCTCAGCATTAATGGGTACAACAAGGACTGGTCGGCTCGGAGTCAGTATAATGTGTCTGAGTGGGATATTCATGCTTCACTGCGGCATGGTATCTCAGTTGGCTAGCACTATAAAACCAGCTTCAGTCTGGGCTAGTACAAGCAGCCGCACATACACATACACACGCATGCACGTCGTCATATGAGCGAACTATTCTCAAGCACGACGTTAAACCCAATTTCACTTCACCTCACCCTGCAGCAAGAACAGAGAGAGAGGCGTAATTACAATTATTCAAATTCGTCTTCCTTCGAGACTTATGTGAAATTGTGCATGGTTTGGACTTGTAGCCTCCCAGAGACAATGAATGAATTGAAAACAGGAATCGAATTCAAGTAAAACATGATTTGACGAGTCTAGGTTACCTCAGCTCTGTATTCCACACCCCAGTGAATGAATTAAAAGATGAAAGGAATTAATATCTAGAATGATGTGGCAAGTCTAGATTGTCTCAACTATTGAAATGGAACTTTGTCCTGTGATCCAGGCAGATCTCACGTTTCATTGTTACTGGGAAATGTAAGTCCAGGAACACATCTGAAGCTTGAAACAAAACCAGTGTTAACCACAGCGTACAAGGGCAATCCCACCAGTAATCCTCTTGTACGGAGAAACATTCACATACGCGTGAGACATAGTCACTGACATGCTGGGTCAGTCACACGATTAATCATAACGGATTGACGTACCTTCAATGGGAAATCGTCCATTTACCGACGGAATCCAGTATAGCCAAGTCGGTCACTGTGTCACTTGCACACGACCATGAAGTTTGCACCGTTGATTATTAATCACTGCTACCCAAGTACAACAAACGTTTGTTTCAAGGCCTATCCTATAATTAAATGCAGGGTCCTACCTATTTCTGTATATATCCCAGTGATACATGCCGTAAAACTTTTCAAGGAAATCCATGCGTGTACGCTCTGATGATTCAACTGCTGTCAAACAACATTTTCCAACACACTCTGCACTCTTAGTCGAACTCGACTGGTACATGCACCTAACCGTCTTTAACATCTGACATATTTGCTCTTATAATTCACTCAGTAGGTGACTGAAGTTTGGACAAGCAATTTGAGAGCTAATTCGACCCCAGGGATTGGAATATTTTTACTAACTTTTTTACAAAGCTGTATAGCTGTATTGTTTCCCCCCATTTTACAAGAAATTTCATGTATTATTAGATTAGCTTATATAGATAGATTTTCTACAAACACTTTCATCTCCATGGTCTGATGCAAGGATTATTTCATATGAATCATGATGTTTGTGTATTTATTGCAACTTTATACCAGGCTGGTTCATTGGATTAACAGCACAAGAGAAATAATTGAATAACACAATTTGTTACAAAAAACGCGATCAAAAGTCTGTTTTCAAAACTTGAGTTTTAACTTTTGAATTTCTAGAAACATCATATGACACTAAAAAAATATAAGAACAATCATGGAAGGGGAAGTTGGTAACTAGCTATAGTTCTGTGTGATATGAACGCTTTACTTTACCAAACATAAGATGGAAGTTGCTTGTATGGTGTACGATAAACACTATCTTCATAAAAAGAAGCAGCAAAACCTCTTTCATATTCATGAGAAGAAACGTCGAGTGTACGATTCCGACAATATCATGAGCAGTTATGACACCAGGCCCCGATTTCTTGAAACAAACGAGTTTTGACTTAAGTGAGAGAGTTTTTACTCAAATTTGAGAAACGCTGGAAAATGCATTTCCCAGAATGAACTGAAATCGATATTAAACTCAAACATAGTAGACAATTTGAGTTTGGTGGATAGATTACTTAAGTTGTTTGGGCTTTGTTATTTTCAAAATGAAGTTGAGTTAAAAATTCAGCTGTTACAAATTGTAAAACTCAAATTTGAGTAAAAACTTAAGTTTGTTTCGAGAAATTGGGGCCAGGTGTTCGCGAAAAAGTGAGCGTATCCTGCTCATCCTTCTGAAGCACATGCGCAACTAATTTGCACACCTACATCTCCAACTGCCGTCTACACGAGGAAACAAGGTCAAGGAACACATAGTTTGTGTCAGGGATGCGTCCAATTTGGAAATGTCTACCATAAAACTTCAACGAAACTTTAATATTGGAACGAATTACCGTCGTATGTAGCTCGTTGAAATCTTCATGCAAATAGCTTGCTTGGTCATACCTTGACATTTGTGACATGGAAACACCAAAGACTGGACAGACGGACTGACTGAGTTTGGTTTTACGCCGCTTTTAGCAATATTCCAGCAACATCACGGCGGGGGACACCAGAAATGGGCTTTACACATTGTGCCCATGTGGGGATTCGAACCCGGGTCTTCGGCGTGACGACCAAAGAATGGAGCTCCTGGAATGCTGATTGACTAAAAGAGGAATTTGACTATTGGATAAGTGAAGTCATCTTGTCACTTGATTGTAGATACTAGAATGCAGCAAATTGGTTAAAACGAGGCCCAGTGCTAATATACATACTTTGTAATAAGAACATTTTAATTGTGATTTGTTTTTTTGTATGTTCTTTAACGCCACGCTCAGCAATGTTACAGCTATATGGCGTCTGTCTGTAAATAATTGAGTCTTAAAAAAATATAACCAAACAATCCAGTAATCAACAGCATGAGCATCGATCTGCGCAATTGGGATACGATGACATGTGTCAACCAAGTCAGCCAGCCTGTCCACCAGATCCTGTTCGTCGCTTCTTACGCAAGCATGGGTTACTGAAGATCAACTCTAACCCGGATCTTTACCGGTTTAATTGTGATTTTGGTCAAGTACAATTTGTCCAGAATATACCTTGGAGTACTATACGATGTATTCGCATTCAGAATTATTAATACTTTTGTTTTCTGACCTGGTTTTGTAAATAGCAAAATTCCATTCCTCCGCGAGACAGATTGTGTAAACAAATATACTTTTTCTGACCAAGATAAGTAAGTCATGTTTTTAAGTCTACACGTCTGCAGCAATTAGCCACATCTGTTCGTATTCAGTATACGTGATGTATTGTGCTGTCTGCTGTTCCCTTGGTGGTCTTCGTGTTTTCCACAACAATATGCGTTTCATTTTGAGAGAGAGACATTGTCTGAAGTGGAGCTAGAACGCCGATATACATATTCATGACTGCTCCTCTGTGTACAGGAGCACTCACACAACACCATCACCACAAAACTATTACGCTTGGAACAGGAGTACGGGGACTTTGACGTAAAGATTTAATGCACACGTGCTCGCTGGCTCACTTCCTAAATTGAATCATCTACCTCCCTGCTGCTAGTCCCCCCCCCCTCTCCCCCGTGAACTATGACTGACACACACATGTACACACACACTCACACACACACACACTCTTGGTATGGAAATGAGTAGACGTTCCAACCGCTCTGCAACGCCTTCCAGGCATCAGTCACTGTCAATGACAACCGTACAGCACGCCAGTCATCAGACGTGACGAATGATATGACCAGTGTAAAGTAAACGATCCGGGTCATCGTAGATAAAATCATCCGAAAGCCACTTCCCCTGCTATTTCGAAACTGGGTCCATCCATCGCAAGGGGAAATCCAGTCGAGTGGAAGTTTCTGCCGTCTATAAGTGACTCGTCTCGGGGCGCGCTTAAACTAGACTGTGTGGGTCAGCCGAGCTTACCTGTGCCCTGCGTGAGAGTCGCTCATGTGTAGAGCTGGAAGCCGACCCATAATACGAATAATGGGCCACCTTTTCTGAGCTTGCTAACAGGATTTCTCTCAGTTAAAACACAGCGCGGCTCGGTCGTGAGAACAGTCGCAGTGTTATCAGTCGTTGCTGTTGGTTGTCTGAATCGCCCGCTCGCTGATATAGCCAGCATGAGGTCGTCTGCTCATTGTTGGACGTTTATCATATCACTGACAGCGTGTTCATTCATCGACGCAAGATCGGACTCCTCTTCATGTCCAGGAAAACAGTCCGTGTGGGACAAATGGTATGATGGATGTAACTGGTGCGTTTGCACGGACTCAGGACCTGTTTGCACGGACAAGGTGTGTTCCAGCGCTTCATTGGAACGGTGTGAAACGTTTGGGGAAAAGTGGAGAGATGGTTGCTACAGATGTCAGTGTTCGGAGACTGGAATTGCATGCACAGCTGACCATCGGTGTGTCCACGCCATGAGATACAACCCAGTTAGTTGCCAACACAAACGTGGTTGTGTGTGCGGAATTGACGGTGTTTCCTCATGTGTCTCTGAGAACATTCAGATGGACTTTCAAAGAATGAGAAAACATCATGGCAGAAAGTACGTTCCAAATAGGCCGATTTTTTCAAAGGGCTTGTACGTCACTCTGCCACGGAAAATGTCTTGTTCTGAAAACCCGAGATGGTATTCGGGAAGCAAACGTTGCTTCTGTCTGCACCAAGGAGAAAAAACGTGTGGCCAGCCTCGACACATAGCACATAGAGTTGATGGATTCCGCTTCAAGATAGCGGATTGTGACACCGCGAGGGTGTGGAACTATAACTGCAAAACGTGCAAGTGTCATATGAGAGGTTTTGGATTCTGTGTACGGGTACCCAATTGCAGGAGAGATTCCACTTCACTTATAGACAGCCATTTGTCTGCGAGAATGGCATGTGTGCCTGGACGGAAGTGGAACGAGGATTGTAAGTATTGCTACTGCACCCGAGACGGACGACGAATCTGTAAGGATTATGATTGCAATTTATCAAGAGCAATGGCCGAAACAAACGTCAAAGTCAAGTCCAGACCGACAACAGGGGAAGTAAAGGTTCGATTAACAGGTGGCGGGATCCTTGAACATGATAAAGAAGAAATTATTCTGCCCATTGATGAAACCGATATATCAGTCATTCCAAAGTTCCAAATACCACCAAGCCGATCTTTTGACATGAGTAGAAGCTTCAGGACGAAGAAACCGCCTGAGATTAAAGAAATACTGTGTGAGGGAAAATATAAACCAGGAGAGAAGTTCTACGACAAATGCAATAGTTGTGAATGCACTGAAACCGGCGATTCCAGATGTACAGCTGTGTTGTGTTGGTGATGCCACGGCAATAACAAGTAACTTAAATCATTAGCAATGCTCTGCTATTGCTTTGCTGAATTCCGACCGATTTACCTTCACACCGCCACACACAGTAAAGATACACTGTGGTTAAGAAGAAGAGTGGACATCGGTCGAGAGCACTTCGGACAGGTTAGTGAAGCAGTCATCAACAAATGTTGATGGATCTTGAAGTTGACAACATATTTCAGATTACCGTAATCGTTTGATGTTGACAGTTATATTTGTCAACAGGCGATGAGGGTTGGACGCTTAATGTGACAGTTTTGAATGTGTATATTGAAATGGACGTCGAACTATATATGAAACTACTCTGTGATATCGAATCCCATTTTGTAAATGGAATATGAACTGTTGCTTGCAGCATGCGGGCTGTGACGTTCTCGATAATGTGAACGTGCTTGTGAGACATTGTCATGATACCTACCAGCATGCGGCATTCTGGGAGGTTACAAATTAACGTAATTATTAATGTATGCTCGTCTGCATTGTTTCAGACAATTGTGGATATTGTGTACTTTTATCATATTGTGGTTTGTACGTACTGAATTTTAACTAGTTTAAAACCAGATTGTAGAATTTTATATATTTCGATTTTGTTATTTCTAATTCCAAACTCTGAGGGGGTCGATCCTTTTGCACCGAAGAGTGAGTGAGTGAGTGAATTTAGCTTTACGCCGCACTCAGCAATATTCCAGCTATATGGCGGCGGTCTGTAAATAATCGAGTCTGGACCAGACAAGCCAATGATCGAAAGCATGAGCACCGATCTACTCAACTGGGAAACGATGGCACGTGTCAACCAAGTGAGCGAGCCTGACCACCCGATCCCACTAGTCGCCTCTTACAACAAGCATGGGTTACTGAAGATCAATTCTAACCCGGATCTTCAGGGGCCCCACACCAAAGAAAATATTGTATATAGGGCGTCTCTTTGGGCAGGTGACTTTTTTCGAAGGCCTCTTTTTTTATCTGTTCACCCAGAGGTGAATCAGTGTCTTAAACATTGTAAAACCTCACAGACACCTTTGTTGTGTACACCCCTTTCTACCACGAGCACATGAATGTGGGGACAAACAATGGTCCATTATCAAAACGAAACTAGGATTCGAACCACAAACCATAGTACGTATTGTTTTACGCTGCTTTTAGCACCAGAAATGGGCTTCACACTTTGTAACCGTGTCGGGAATCGAACCTGAGTCTTCGGCGTCACGAGCAAACACTTTAACCACTAGGCTACCCCGCCGCCCCTAGAAAAACATAGCTTCCAGACGCGCCTAAGGGAAGGAAGTGTGCTCAACGAATTTCGCTTTCTTACAGGACATGGCAGCGTGTTGTGTTAAAATTACCATACTCCAGCGTGAATCTACGCTACATTAGGGCTGACCTATTGGCCTCTCCCGGATCCATAATGAAATAGGCCTACAGCAGAGTGAGTAATACATCAGTGTAAAACTTACAATACATGCACCAGTTACAACCTACACAATCACTTGCCAGTCGTTAAACCGAATATCATACAAACATCGCCCCTCTCCGTCACAGTGAACATCACCTGTTACCGCCGATCCTTGTCTATCACACAAACATCGCCCCTCTCCGTCACAGTTAGACTAACAACTAGTCTCTGAAATGAACATATTTTACTGAAAAAAGTTCATAGTAAAAAAAAGAATATATATAATGAAAAGGAGCCCTGAGCCTTTCTTCATTTTCAAAAGTTGAGGAAATCTAGACTTGCCACATTTTCTAGACTTGCGTGGGCTTTCTTGGATATATTTGCTTCAGGGTCTGTACAACAGACTACGTCACAGTGAACATCACCTGTTACCGCCGATCCTTGTCTACCATTAACACAGCTGATGAATTATGTTCCATTTCAAAAGTTCAAGAAAAGTTCAAACACAATATGCTAATTTCGATAATGCGTGCATAATGTTTGCCAAGGCGTAGCGGTATTCATATAGATGAAGACGGGTTACTGTGCTACAAGCATACACTTTTCATGATTGGGAGACTCATGCCTTTTGAGACCTGTGAAAGGAGTGTCATAACATTAGGACGAGGTTTCTGCTGTTGTAACTGGTTTTGTTAGTTGTTAAACGCCGCACTCAGCAATATTCCAGCTATATGACGGCGGTCTGTACATAATGGAGTCTTAATTAGACAATCCAGTGATCAACCGCATGAGCATCGATCTGCGCAGTTAGGATTCGGCTTACATATTTACACTTACACTTGGCAATATTCCAGATATATAGCGGCGGTGTGTAAAAAGTTGAATCTGGACCAGACAATCCAATAATCAACATGAACATCGATCTACGCAATTGGGATACGATTGTGTCAGCCACGAGCCTGACCACCAGATCCCGTTAATCGCCTCTTACGATAAGCATGGGTTGCTGAAGATCAGTTGTAACCCTGATAATAATCTCAGTGGCAGCAAGTTCCTATCTGTCTGTCGGGGACTATGTTTTTCATCAAGCAACTGCGGAAACACTTCCGTCTGGTAGTCAGGCGGGGGAGTTGGCGTATAAATCGAGCTATCTGCACGTTTACGTTAATAACATAGAGGTATCTCATCACATGTGCTCCCACCGGTATTTCTGCTCAACCTCGATAGTGCATGTGTAGAAGGGCACGGAATAGCGCAGCTATGTATGTGTAACAGACGCCGAATACTCAAAGAACGCTATGTCTCAGGACTGAACGTGTAGACAGATTATACTCACATTCAACGTCAAGACGTTCTGCATTAAATTAGACACAGACATTACGCAGACATGCTCACAAATACACAGAGAGAGAGAGAGAGAGGAGAGAGAGCAGAGAGAGAGAGAGAGAGAGAGAGAGAGAGAGAGAGAGAGAGAGAGAGAGAGAGAGAGAGAGAGAAGGACATTCAGCACCATCAACTGGTGTTCAAACCCAGTCATACAGAATGTAAATTAAAATGGCATCTGTGTCACGTGTCATTTGTACAGTTGCTATATATCTCTTTTGTGTCTTGATGCACAGTTGAACAGTTGTGTGTCATATAATTGTGCATTTTAAACTATGTCTCTACCCATGGCAATATAATGTGCCTACGGGTCACACAGGACATATGAACGCCGTCACTGTATTTAATTAGATGCACTCTCATCACCTCTTAGTGATTAATGGCAAAAATCTCGGAACATTCCATGTTTATCCATAGTACTTATTCCGTAGGATCAAACACGTTTGTTAGCTATTTAACGCCGCAATCAGAAGTATTCTTGGTATATAACGCCCAGGCTGGGCCATACAATCCAGTGATTGATATTATGATCAACTATCCACGCCTGCGCAGTGCGTAGCACGCAAGTGTCGATGTCAACAAGCGTTTGGTGCCCAGAATTCCTGGAAACTCGAACAGGAACAAAGTCACCCTGTACATAGTGGAGAGGCGTGGAGCGGCGTGGAGAGGTGTGGAGCGGAGTGGAGTGGAGCGCAGCGGAGAGGAGTGGTGCAGGAAACAAGAGGAATAGAGCGGAGTGCAGAAAGCAGGAAAGGAGTTGACCGGAGCTGACCGGAGGACTGGTGTGTTGTGGTGTGTGGTGTTGTGTTGTGTGGTGTTGTGTTGTGTTGTGTGGTGTGGTGTGGTGTGGTGTGGTGTGGTGTGGTGTGGTGTGGTGTGGTGTGGTGTGGTGTGGTGTGGTGTGGTGTTGTGGTGTGGTGTGGCGTGGTGTTTTGTGGAGCGGAAAGGAGAGGAGCGGTGAGGGATGGAGTGGAGTGGAGTGGAGAGGAGCGGAGTGGAGTGGAGAGGAGTGGAGCAGAGCGGAGCGGAGAGGAGCGGAATGGGTTTTCGTTCTATCTTGTAACGGTTTCATGGAGTAAAGTCACAGCTACACCGATGTCCAGTGTACGAGAACGATGACACAGCAAGCCAACAACGTCAGCACAATAGCTACATGAATAAGATGCATACGTTACAAAAGTTATTCTTAATGATCGGATCACTTCGGGTTTTATCCCACAATAAACTGTTACACAGTGATGATAATGTTCAGAATGGCATTACACCTAACTCACAAAACTCATTACACCCAGTGTTTTGTTTGTTGTTTAACGCCGCACTCAGCAATATTCCAGCAACATGTACCTGCGGCCTGTAAAAAAACTGGACCAGACAATCCAGTGATCAACAACATGAGCATCGGGAAACGATGGGATGTGCCAACAAAGTCAGCGAGCCTGGCCAACCAATCTCGTTAGTCGCCTCTTACCATAAGCATAGGTTGCTGAAGGCCATTTCTAACCCAGATCTTCGCAGGGGTATACCTAATGTAAATTGCATACATCTACGGTTTGTTTCAGACGTAGTAACGTCACACCAGTAAAACCCATTTTATTGAAACTATAATAATATAACATTGTATAACATTTTGGTATGAAGACTAACACTTAGTCTGTTTGCAGTGAAAACGTACCGATGAATTTCACTTTAAGCAAAAACGTAAATCAAATAAAATGAAATTAAGATTAAGGGGGTAAGCGCAGTAGTTGGAATAGTGAAACAAATGCACGTGTGGTACGTGATGAGCGTTAACTTCGACCAAACCTACATATACATGTTCTTGGTGTTTCATTTAATGTGCATACCCCCTTGTAATACAAACCAATAATAGCGATTTGAAACTATGATCGTTTGATAAACATCTTTTATCGTAAGTTGAATATTATTCTGAGATTTAAACTTTCAACTGGCAAGGTAAAATTCTGAGGATTCGCAATCTTAATTTCACTTTATTCGCTTTACTTTTTTGTTTAAAGCGAAATTCATCGGTACGTTTTCACTGCAAACAGACTTATGGTCTTCATATATACTGAAAATAGCTCGAGAATTTTGTGTCTTTTAACATATGATAGGTTGATCCAAGAGAATGACTTCATTTTCAGAAACCGAAGAAAACTATACTTGCAAAAATATTTTAGATTTGCTTTGGAATTTTTCGGATAACTTTGGGTCAGTATGATTCAGATCTAAAATCTGTATTTTACACATGGATCTGTGTCCAATTGTGAAATCAAGTTATATTACCATCATAGTCATATACAATGCATCTTCATTAGCCAACCCGTGAATATCCGGGTTAGAATTGATCTTCAGTAACCCATGCTTGTCGTAGGAGGCGACTAACGGGATCGGGTGGTCAGGCTCGCTGACTTGGTTGACATATGTCATCGTATCCCAATTGCGTAGATTGATACTCATGCTGTTGATCACTGGATTGTCTGATCCAGACTCCATTATTTACAGACCGCCTCCATGTAGCTGGAATATTGTTGAGTGCGGCGTAAAACTAAACTCACTCACTCACTCTTCATAAGCCATATAAAAAAATGGAAAACTTCAGAGGTCAACACTACTCCAAGTTGTGCTTCTGCTGAAACGTCAGTCATGCTACTTCCTCGTCCTAAACAGTTCTTAGAACGGGTTGAACCCACAATCCTCTTCATGAATACGTGCCTACACTGCTGAACATGTAACCTTTCCGTCTGCACAAAAAGCAAGTTATAATCTTGACTCAGGGCCAACAAGTAGGTGCACTCCTGA